TCAGCGATGTAACAAACAGCTGGTCTGGTGCGCAAGGAGACTCTGCCAGTTCCAGCGATGAGACCTCCTCAGCTAATGGAGACAGTCTCTTTTCCATGTTCTCAGGGCCAGACCTTATTGCTGCTGTCAAGCAGAGAAGGTAAACTGCGATGTACAAGTGCCATTTCCAGATCATTTTAACCCTGACTTTATAAAATTGGCTAGACAAAGAGGTTCTCATTGTGTGAAGTATTCAGTGAAGTTGATTGAGACAACCATGTGAGTTGAAACGTTAGCCACATAGGATACTGCCCTTGGGTCCTTTGAACAAATCTTTACACCAGTGACCCTCACATCTGCTTCTCTAATGAATCTATTCAGTTCGGAATATTTGTGACACCTCCTTTGTCTGTCTTCTTTTAATGCACCTATTTTTCTCACTGCACCTACATGCAACACTCTTTTCTCTTCCCTAGTAATATGACCAAGTTTCCTTTTTTCTTCTAGGATGGCTTATTTTCAACTCATTGGAGAGAGTGTTGTCTAGCTAAGCTAATCTCCTGTTGCTCTTCTCATTCTAAGTATAATACCATGCTTTTCCAGGTTCCCCAACCAGTAGCTTTTATAGAAAACACAGTTTCATAAATATTATTTTGTTTCATTGCTGGGCAAAAAGCACTCCAGTTAAATATAATCAAAGCTATTGAATGTACAGTGTAAGTAGTTTGATCCTGTAGTTGTAGTGATCTTTTAAGAATTGTTTCTAATAACAGTAGCTGAAAATGTTTTAAAGAACACAATCGCTTTTTAAAAAGATCAACTCCAGTCAATGTCTTAACTGTTTTGTAGAAAACACAGTAGTGGTGAGCAGGAACCCAGCACACTACCATCACCACCTCTTCTTTCTGCAGTAGATGACCGTAATCAGGTAAGCTGAAAACTGCTTTTTGTATATGCTAACTAGGGTTATTTAGCAAGAGAAGAAAAACTACACTTAACTTCATATATCCCTGAAGACTGCTGATCAGACTTTAGCTTGTTTTTGTTGTTCTGAACTGAATTAACACTATTTTGCATGAGTGGGGGGGATTTAAGTTTCAACAAAACTGCTAAGCTTGTATTAAAACCGTTTATAAAAAATGACTTTTGCCCTGTCGCTTACATAAACAAAAATAAAAACAATATTGCGTATTAGCCTAACTAGAAACACATTAATCAGCTCGAGCTGTAGTGCTTTGCTGATAGGCTTGCCCAAAATGTGCCACAGTAGAGGGAGAACTGAGGCATATTTCTTGCATGTTGCCCAGCATTGCTCTTCTTTTCCCCTCGCTTTCTGTATTTTAACTGGACAAAGCAGGGATAAAGATGGGGCAATTGGGATGCTAAAGTAACAAACCAGAATAGCACAGAGGAGATGAGCGCTGCTTGTAGACTACCAAGCAGTTTTTTTTTTTAAATGACAAATTTAAAACCAGAGTCCTGGATCAGACCATGGGGTAAGCAGCTATATTTAAATGTTAGTTTTATTAAAGCTCTTCAACCTATGTCCAGAGGAGGGCCTGCATAGCCATGTAGTTTAGGTCACTAGTCATTTTTACTAATTTTAAAAAACAAGGCATCAAGTAATCTTTATAAACTGGCCAGAAAGCGTAAAGTAAAAAGGCCAGAGTTTTTTCAAGCATTTGAAAAAGAATGTGCCAGTGAGCAAATGCTACAAAAACATTTAGTTTAAAAAAAAAAAAAAAGTATTTTGTTTGCAGTTTTTCTGTAGCTGTTCCTGTTGTAAAGAATTTAAGTAAATCAACCTTTTGAAGTGGGGTAAGTAATAGTGAAGCATGGTATCCAAAGGCAATGTTCTTGGTTTTCAAAAACAAAGCTGAATTTTTGTCTTTACAGGATAACAAAACCAAAACCTGGCCCCCTAAGGCTCCTTGGCAGCATACTTCACCTGTCACAAATACACTGCCCAGTCAGAGTACGTCACTGTATCAGATGAGCAACCCCGTTAGCCAATGGAATGACACGATGCAGATTCTACAGTCACCAGTTTGGTCAACAGCCAATGACTGTGCTCCATCAACAGGGATTTCCTCCAGTTTTGCCTATGCCCAGCAACAACAATCATCACAGCAGCAGGCTTCCCAGCACAAACAGATAAATAAGGGCTTTAAATCTTTTCCAGTAAAGCACGAACGCAGACCATCTTACCTGCATCAATACTAATCGCTTCTCACATTGGAAAGATGCAGCATAGGGCCAAACAGTCTTATAAATGATGTATATTATCTGTTTCACAGTTCTGTGTACCGGCTGCGTTCTGGTTATTTTGTTTTGAAACACAGAGTGAAATTTTTTGGTGACGTACATAACCTTTTGACTTATTTTACAGTGCTGAATAAACAGGGCCAATATATTTGTTATATGTACATGAAAAAGTCCAATACTGTGATGTAGAAATGCTTTTAAAAACTTGTGTATATTACAGTTACTTTCAAAATCCTTTTTTAAAAAGTACTGAAAGACTACCATAAAGCACTGTATTTTATAGCTATTTTCATATAGATTTATATAGGTAAACATCTCTTGCTAAAATGCATATTTTTTAGCAAATATATTGGTCAATTCTGCTCAGCACTGTTATTTCGATTTCTAATAGACAAGTTGTAAAGTCTCCATACTCTGAGTCAACAGCCTGTGATGACTTTTTTAACAAAGTGAGGAAGCAGCTTTTAATGTACCACACAAGTGGGTGTACGACAACAGTGTTGGAAAGACACTGGGTTTGTGGTAATTTCATAATATAAATATAGATCAGCTAGAACCACTCAAATTCATCACGAAAACTGTCTTGGCTGCCTCAGCTGTAAGGTATTTGTGTGGGTCAGATTGTTGATTTTCACATATACGATTTAAAAATACTTCATGTGGCCAAAGGCATTATCCACACAGTGCTCCTTAAATGTGCAGAAGTACAGCTAAAAGACTACTTGCATATATTTAAAGTCTTATTTCAATGCTATGGTTAGGGTAAAAATTGTGAGCTGGCTCAGAAGAAACTAAAATGTGGGTAGTAGTTAGTGAAAAGAACATTATTTTTTTTTTTTAGAGAATAAAGTAATTATTTCTGGTCAATGTGCCATTAAGTGAACCTGTGGAATTAGGAATAATCTTCCAACCAAAGTGGGATCTAGAAGAGTGACTGGTGCTTAAATTGAAAAACAATGGTAAATATGTGTATAGTTATCCCATTGTATATTAATTGAAGTTAGAGAAGATTCTTTATATAGTTAAAGCTTATTTAAAAATTTTCATATGTCATCTTTGAAAGAGTCTAAAAACCACAATATTTTCTGGTATAAAAGTTTTGACAGTATTAATCTTATTTTTGTATTTTTCTTAAGTCGTTATATCATTCTAATACGTTAACTACCAGTAAAGTGGGCTGTTATTTCTAACTACATAAGTTTTTTTTCCAATGAAGATAAAAGCACATTTATGTTCCCACTTTTTGTTTGCAAACTAAATATTCTATATCTAAAGATACCAAAAAACAAATTACACACACACACACACACTCTCTCTATATATAAATATATATAAATATATACAACACTAAAAATATTAAAACATTTGGGTGTTTAAAACCCAACCACCTTTCTTGTTTGTATGGTGATGGGCTGCATTTATATGCCCAGAATGTTACCTTTTGTGCTGTTTGGGGATGCCAATGTTGCCTGTATTTGATATATTGTCACCATGTTTTCTGAAAATTCATACTTACCATGTTTACAGAACTGTTTCCTGTACATAAGACTTTTTACAGTACTGTGCTTTGCACAATCAGTGTGGCTTTTGTCTGTAACTTGTCAATGTTCTGTACTACTATAATTTTGAAAACCCTCTGCTGAAAATATGAGTAGTTATTTAGCTTGACAAATGGTTTTAAGTTTCCTAAAACTTGACACTTAATATTTGATCTGAAATTTGGTCATACTTATGTCCTGCAGTTATTCATACCAAGGCCAATAGACCAGGTAATAGAAATATTTATAATTTTGAACCCTACAAGTGCCAAAACTCTTGCTGCAATTTTTGCAGTTTACTGGCAATTTCTGAACTTATCCAAGTGAATTACAAAGATTAAATCCTTCCTATCTACATTTTGATCATACAGGTGCTGTGTCCTTCGCCTCCAATTGTACCTAACACTGGGAGTTTTAAAAATTGTTGCACTTGGCTTAAGTCTTGCCATTTTTTAAAATCATTTACACTGCCAAGTGCAAGGGTTTGGTGCTTAGTTAATTTACCTTTTATTGCAGAGCTTCTTGTGAATAACTAATGCTTCTGAACTGGAACTGTACATTTTGTATTTTAAAGCTCCTGTAAGTAAAACAAAACAAAACCCCACAACAAAACAAAACTTTGCTTTATTAAAGAGATATATTTACTAATAGATCAGACCTGTTTAAAACCTGCACCCCACGGAAAATAAACAGGACCTTAAGATGTAACTTCAATTTGTGAACAAAGATACCACTTCATTAATACAGAACTATTTAACTAATTGACGGTAGTAAGATGCATTAAATAGGCAGTAAATTAAATAGTACACACTGAAGAACCCAATACCTTCCCCTACAATTGATTTTGGGCTGCTTTGCCACTAGGGTTAATAATTACTCATTAGCCAATTTGGAAGTTACCACTGCTGTACTGCACAGGGTAGCATTTTGTACTTCAGCAGCAAGCATACAGATTAAATCACTGTCATCAAGCAGAGTTCACATGAATAAGAAATGGCAAGTTACCTTTGATTTCCAACAAAAATAAAGTCCCATGCCAGCATATACTAAGTTTTGCTATTTGTTTAACAAACAGGAAGTGTTTAATATACAACTGAGAAACTGAATAGCTGTATTTCATAGGTTTCAGGTATGTGCATCTCTTTTGCCAACACATCTAAACAGAAAAGTTATAAAAACTGGATGAGATTGGATCTGAGGACAAAATGGATTCAGAGGTGTTTGTTATGAGAACTTGTTTATTTACAAGATATCCAATATATGGCATTTGGAACAGATTAACACATAAGCAGACTGGATTTTTCTCCACTTGTTTGCCACAGTATTCCCTTATAGAAATATATATGGACAAGGTTTTCACTTACCAAAATTCTCTATAAATGCCCAATATCTACCTAGGGGTTTAGGTTGTAGCGGTGTTGGTCTAACTATTCTCCAACCATTTGGGTTGGTCTAATAAAAGATATCAAATTCACCCAAGGAACCTTGTCTGCCAATATCTACCTATGATTTCTGGAAAAGGTTAAATTACTTCAATCTGTTTCTTAAACAATTATAAAACTTTTTGAATCTAGGATTTTAAGCTTTCATGTTTGGTAGGGGAGATGCAATCCTTCAGTTCTATACTTTGAAATCCGAGTCAGGTTTATCTCTAGGGAGGTTTTTTTGTAGCTGCAGGAACACAGTGTATCATACAAATCCTAAATATGCTTGTGTTTTTTAGGAAGAACTTGCATTCAGGAAAACAGGGTCATATTGCAATGTATCCTGTAAGTTGACTGCATTGCTGCAAATGTGCGAGACAATGTGTCTGTACACATTAGCTCTAAATTTGCTGTTAGGAAGGTAAGAAACAAATTTCAATGCAAGTATTTCCATTAAGTTTAATGAGTTTAATGAATGCCTACCCTATTCTATACCAGAACCGATAAATAACAATTCCTTGCAAGTGGAATGACCACCTATTAAGGTCTGAATCCTGTTCCATGAAAACAGCAATGGAGGCAGTCTCCGAAATATAAAGATGCAATGCATGTAACTGCTTATAGGAGGGTGATAAAGGAAAATTTCACAACTTCCATAAATGTCTTCCAGTTACATTTCTGCAACCTTGTCTTTAGGTAAGTAAGTAAGTAAAGTAGCAATCTTACTATAGGACCTGCACTTGCGAACTCAACAGGAGAGAGCTTTCAAACATCCAGCCTAGGGGCTTCTTGTAGTCTGATAGACCCACCTTCAGATCTGGCCCACAGGGCCAGAAACTCTGTCGGGGGCAGCACCTCGGGAGTTGAAGCTGCTGCTGTCTGCCTTGCAGCAGTGATAACCCCACATCAACGCAGAAGCTGAAGCAGTTGCAAGGTTTAATACCTGAGCTGCTCTGTTAGTGCAGTCAGCATGCGAGAGTTAATGCTAGTGCCAGAGGTGGGCTGCCTGGCCTGTGAGAAGCCCAATTTAGATCTGTAACACTAACCCAAACGAGTATGACACCCCTGCAACAGGAGATGCAGAGACAGCTTAGTTAAGCGAGGAGAAATAGCAAGCTGAAACTTTCCTGCCTTTGATCACTGATAATCAGCTCTCTACGGACAGTAACACACCATGTGTTTGTGCTGTGACAAGTGGGATAGATTGTGGCAGTAAGAGACTTTTAGCTAAATATTACTCTCCAACATCTAGTAGCCAGAGCAACTCTTATCATTTTCTGGAGATTTTCAAAACTGCTGTGAGCACTGAAGGAACCCTCATGGTGAGTTTACACAACTCATGAGACTGGTGGGCATCAATCCTACTTCACATTTTGGTAACTGGTACTGGAAGAGGGAGTGAGCGACTTGCAGACTTGTACAGCAAGATTAAAGGCCATCTGTAGCAAATCCTTGATACTTCCCTGTATCTCTGTTTTCTCATGGCTGCTGCATCAGCTTTTAATAGTCAAGACACAGCTCAAGCAACAAGTGTCATTATTCCCAACTTTTAAGGTGCTGCATGGAAGTGGGCTTATTTTCCAAAAAGATCACTATTAACAAAAGCCAGGGGAAGGGGGGTACAGGGGCCATTTTTACTTGCTTTCCTACTTCTAGCCTCAAAGAAGCCTACACAATCTTGATGAATTGGAGAACCCAATTCTTGTGGGACCTTCTCCAGGTGCCCCTGGGATCCTAATAAAAGTTTGCCGTAGCCAGTTATTAATGAAAACGAGAGCGCTTCTGATCCTTCAGCAGGTTCCTCCTGGCCTGACTACGCCGCAACTCAGTCATACTTCCACATCTCCTACAAGCATCTGCACCGTGTCCAAAGCTGCACGCTCAGTCTGCAGTCCTCTGTCCGTTGGGTGGAGCTGTATCGGCAATAGTAGCTAGATAAATAAGGTTCCTGTGCAGGATGTGCTGGTACCTACGACGGAAAGGGAGTTCGTTTGGAGCAAAACTGGGCAATAGCCGTACTCCCTGCGGTAAGGAGAAGGGGGTCAGTCTCGGTAGCCTTCCGTTAACAAGGGTTAGCTTAGCTTTCCAACTTGACCACATTTCTTATTTCCCCAAGTGTACTGAACCTTTGCTATTCGGGAAAGCAAGCCAAGGGTGGTTGGCGGCTATTTACGCACTGACAACGCACGTTGTAAAATGCAGCCCTTCCTACCCCAGCCTTTACTTGTGCGCGCAAGTATCCCTTTTTCCTCCTCCCCCAAGAGAGTCCGAAAAAGCAGGTGAGCAGCTCCCGCGACAGATCACTTTTAGACGGCGGGGAGGCTGCCTGCTGCGGTGTGCGCACACCAGCCTCGCAGCACAAGTCATCTATCCAGAAACCGGGTCAAACACGAGCCTTGGGGAAAGCAGGAGAAGGAACCTGAACGCAGGGAGTCGGTACAGCCTCGCTCGTTTATTTTAGGCCAAAAGCCTCCGAGGGCGGCGCTGTGCGCGGACTCCTGCCCCCGCCCCGCCCGGGACTCACTGCACACACTCGGTGGCTCTCCCCTTGCTCTGGTACTCCACGATGGCGCGGATCAGCTGGTCGTTCTCCTCCAGCAGCTGGAAGGGAAGCGCGGGGTCACCGCGAGAAGCCGGACTC